TTTTGCAACAAGCCTTGTCTTCTTCCTTTCATACTAAGTATCATTCTTGATCATAGCTCCAATTTCATCTCCAATAGATTCTCTCCATTCATCATGCTCCATAGCCTCTTCATAAGTCTTTGGAACATAATCTTGATCCAAGTTGGTGATAAAAGCTATATGCTCTTGTGGATAGCTTGCTAGAGAGCAGGTTGCTTGAATAGGATGAGCCACTGCATTGCTGTTGAAGTATACTCTGGTGTTGGTACAATGTGACGGTTTCCTGTCCCTTGTACTCCTCCTCAAAGGTTGTATTTGTTCAGGTTCTGCTTCATTTCCTTCACTTGGCACCTCCATATGTGTCTCAGCTTCTTATATCTCATTTTGATCATGGGATGCTGAGCTTTCTTCAGGTTGAGCTTGCACAGGTTCAGTAGGTTCAGCTTGTTCAGTGTTATCACCCCCCTCATGATTAAGATGAGTATTCCCAACCTCCTCCACTATTTCGTCAACAGCTTGTGGTGTAACCTCTCTAACCGGGGCTGGTGAGTTTGGTAAACTGATGCCAAGCCTTTCCATAATGACTCTCAGGTTGTTTGCTCTATCTGATGGTCCATTTGAGAGATCTTTAAGGTCTTCCCAATTCTTCTCATAATAGTATCCCTTGGATTCTACAAACTTCACATCCCAGGATACCATCACCTTTCTTGAATCTGGTAGGTAACACTTATATCCCCTCTGCGTGTGTGAGTACCCAATGAACATGGCTTTGATACTCTTAGGTTCAAGCTTGTTCCTTTGTTCTCCTGGAACCAGAACAAAACACACACACGCAAATGATCTATAGGAGGCTTAGTCTTATTTAATATCTGAAATGGAGAGGCATCTTTGAGGACTTTGGTTGGGATTCTATTGATAAGATAACATGCAGAGACCACAGCATCTCCCCAAAATATCTTTGGAACATTGGTGTGGAACATCATGCTTCTTGCAACCTCCATAAGATGCCTATTCTTCCTCTCAGCCACTTCATTTTGTTGTGGTGTGTAAGGGCAGCTTGTTTGATGAGTGATCCCATGTTTTGCTAAGTGTTGTTTGAAGGCATGGCTAGTGTACTCCCCCTCCATTATCTGACCTAAAAATTTTGATCTTAGAATTAAAATTGTTAGCCACATAGTTTTGGAAGTTCATAAAAGCTTCTAAAACTCTATATTTACTTTGAATCAGTGTGAGCCATGTGTATTTCGATTTCTCATCTATGAAAGTTACAAAATATTTATGGTTTTCTCTAGAGACATATGGGGCTGTCCAAACATCAGAGTGTACTAGATCAAAGCAGTTCTCATAAATAGTCATAGATGAGGGAAATACAGATTTATGGTGTTTACCAAGAATGCATGCCTCACAAGTTTCATTTTGTAAAGATAAACTAGGTAACATTAATTTTAAAGCATTGAAATGAGGGTGGCCTAATCTAGCATGCCATAACACATCATTAGCTAAAACATAAGCAGAATTAAAAGCATAAGTAGAATCTGATCAAAGCTTGGTATCTTCAAGGAAATAAAGCTCTCCCTTGCTCACACCTTAGCCCAGCATCTTACTGGTCTTAATATCCTGAAAGCACACATCATTAGGACTAAAAATAACCTTGCAATTTAAATCATTAGTTGCTCTTTTCACAGATATAAGATTAGAAGCAAAGGCATATAAAAGGCTTGAGATTCTGTATTAAACAGGTTCAGATTTCCTACTCCTTCTATTGGAATTCTATCACCATTTGCAATCTTAACACTTCCTATAGCAGGTTTAATATCATCAATCAGTCTAGCATCCCTAATCATATGGTGAGAAGCTCCTGAATCAATGATTAATGGTCTAGCAGTGTAAGGTGCAGTGTGAATAGAATTTAAAGCATTAACACTTAGATTACCAGAGTTTGCATTGAGAACCTTGATCAAGGCCTCAATGTCTGACTTGCGGATGTATCCATCCTCATGGGGTGGCTGAGACATGGCGTGAGATGTTGAACCACCAGAGTGAGTTGTAGAGATCAAGGCTCTTCCATCATCTCCCATGCGCATAGTGTTTGATGTTGAGTGCTCCTGAGCTCTTGCTTCATGAGCTTTGGCCTTGCCATACTTGTTTGCTGAGGCTGGTCTGAGATGAGGGTGGAGAATCCAACAGTTGGTATTGGAGTGTCCATGTTTCTTGCAATGCTCACAAGTGACTGACTTGTCTCCTCCTCCCCTTGGTTTGAAGTAAGACTTGTTGGCTGATGCATTCTCTATTTTCTCAGACTTGTGTGCCATGGACAGTTCTCCTTTTCCACCACCAAAGAGACCATCTGAGCCTATCTCCTTCTGAAGTTGAGCACACACCTCATCATAGCATGGAAGCTCCTTGTCTCGCAGTATATGCTTCACCACATCATTGAAGCCTGAACTAAGAGTGAGAAGCAGTCCAAATACCTTATCCTGCTCACACCTAGCTTCAAGAGTATCAGAGCCATTTGTGCTTGGTCTTAACATCTCTAGCTCAGACCACAGCTGATTATACTTCCCAAGATGCTTGGTGAAGTCTCCATCCTCCTGTTGTAGGTTGTTTATGGCTCTCTTTACTTCAAATATCCTGGTGAGGTTTGAAGTGTTACCATACACCTTGTGTAAGGTATCCCACAACTGTTTTGGTGTGGTACAATGTGAGTAAGAGTCCATAAGAGGATCATCAAGAGAGCTTTGCAAAATAGACAGCACCATGAGATCTTCCTGAGCCCATTTGCCTTCATCCACCACTACAAACTCCTTGCCATCATCTCCTTGGGTGATTTTCTTTGGAGCTGAACTTGAAATGACATGCTCCCAAAGACCTCTTCCTCCAAGGGTTGTCTTAGCCAATCTAGACCAGGTAATGTAGTTTCCTGGTCCCTTGAGCTTGACTGGAATGTTGATTGCTCTGTACTGCTTCATCTCTCTCACTAGGCAACCAAGAGTATTTTGAAAACAAAACAAGACTGTTTTTTTAGAGAGATTAATTCAAAAGGATTAAGAAGCAAAGCTTAAGAACACAAGAACTCTCAAGAACAAAGATCTGGGAATGCTGTAGAGAAATAAGGTAAAACCATAGAAATAAAAGTGAATGAGTAACATAGTGAATTTGAGGAAGTGAGTTTAGGTAATCAGGAGCTTAGGGCTCCGATACCATGTAAGAAAATGAATAACAATGTTATGAACAAAGTGAAGAACAAGAGAGAGAGAGATAAGAAGGATTCTATTTTCCTTACTTTCTTAAGTATATACAGAAGACTATTTATAGCCACACAATACATACAAAAGATCTGAGAAGATAATAAAGAGATAAGGTTCCAAGAGCTATATTCCCAACAGTTATATTTTGAATTTTGAACTCCTTTGCACTGTAGTGAACATTGCTCGCGAATCCCTACAGCGTAGAAGTACATAATGCACGTTTATCAAAGTGCTCACTTTGGTTATGTACCAAATATGTTTTCTCCAACAACTGCTCTTTTCTCTATAGCGTCAAAGTGATCAATATAACTTTCTCGAAGTCTTTATTTCAATGTTGTAGGCCAACTTGATCTCTTCATCTTCATTCTTTAATCTTTATTGTCTTCATGTCAACATCACAGTGGTTACGGGCACCATCACGGTGGTAAGTACAAGCGAGGGTTTTTCGGTGGAGGAAAGTACAAGCGAGGGAAGCACAGTATGTTCGGAGGAAAGTATTAACGTGGTAAGCACGGCATGTTTGGAGGCAAAAGAGGCAAGACTGGCATGTTTGGAGGCAAAAGAGGCAAGACTGGCATGTTCGGACGAAGGAAGTGGAAATGATCATTTGAATATAATTTTTTCACGATCACTATAATATCTCTCTCTATATAAATCGCCGTCTGTAACAACTTTTTCGTATGTAACACTTACATATTAAGCTTAGTATAAATGTCTTTTTTGGTACGACATATTAAGCTTAGAATATAAGCTAAGTATATATTAAGCTTACTATATATTTTGGTACGACATATTAATTAAGCTTAGTACATATGACATATTAAGCTAAGTATATATGTTACCTGTATACTAGTATATATGATGACTGTCATTAAATTCATGTACGTAACGTATGATACATAGTAACGTTTGAAAGTTTTGTTCACGAAAATGCCTTCCGTCCTCCCCCCCACCCAATGAATTGCAGTTTTATATGTTTAGAATATATTGTTTGTTTTCCATTGAACGAGTTTGAATGACTGTATTCCCTAAAATATGGATTTAAGTAGCTATTTATTCAAAGCAGAATAATAAAAATATTGTTTTTATCCAAAATAGAATAACAAAGCTTCTGGATGAGAAGAACATACCGGACGAGGTTTATCCTAAGAATGCCAAAAGATAAACCTTATTTTGTGAAAGTAAAAGAGACGTATTATGGATAATTGTAACAAGTAATCTAAAAGTAAACTAAAAATACTGTATATGGTTTAAAGAACGATGTAATCGGTTGCAAATAGGATAATGGGTATAAACTATAGAGGGAAGAAAATTCTTTTCAGAAAAATATTAAATCCATTACGATTTTTAAAAGTATTAAAAACATTTCAAATCTATATCTTTTGGTAATCAACGAAAAATGAACGGATATGATATTCCGATAATTAGGTTAAATTTCTATGTTTGCAATAAAATCCATAATATGCAAATAAAAACTTGTTATTCAAAATGCTAATAACATTGAAATATTTTGATATATCCAAATACAATCCAATATATATCCAAATCAATATTGAAATAGTAGATTGGGATAGCGAGTTTTTTATTTTGTTACAAAATCGGCGATTATATTCCTTTGTAATCATTATCCTATTCTGATTTTAATTCAAATTATATTCTTTTAAAAATATAGAAAAATATCTGAATTACGTCTACGTAAGATTTTCTGCTCCCCTATATAAATCATTGTTTTCTCTTCGTTCACTCAAAAACAAAACGAAAACAATCTGCAAAATGGTTTCTCTTAGGTTTCTCTTATGTTTTCTCTTGTTCTTAGCAAGTAGTGTCTACGCTACGATTGTTTCTCACGATGGACGAGCAATCACCATTGATGGTCATCGCCGTGTTCTTCTCTCCGGTTCAATCCATTATCCTAGAAGTACCCCTGAGGTAGATAAATCTTGAATAAGTCATATATATGACTGATCGTATTGGTTTTTAGGTTCAGTAGCGATTATAATCATTTTGTGTATTAATCTTATTTTTTTTAGATGTGGCCCGATCTTATAAGAAAAGGCAAAGAAGGAGGTCTTGATGCGATAGAGACATATGTTTTCTGGAATGCACATGAACCTACTCGTCGTCAATATGATTTCTCCGGAAATCTAGATCTTATTAGATTCTTGAAAACCATTCAAGATGAAAAGTTGTATGGCGTTCTTCGCATAGGACCATACGTTTGTGCTGAATGGAACTACGGGTAATATACTGAACAGAATCAATCTTTATATTTTTTTCTGTGCAAGAATCTTACTATTCTATATATAAACATATATCTAGTTAACAGATCCCAAATGCGTTACTACCTTTTTACATACAATCATACATACTAGTTTCTCTTACGTACATCTAAACGGGATGCGTTAATAATTCATAGATATTCTCGTAAATACCAATCAGTTTTAATAAATCCCTAATGTGTTAGTAAAGTTTTTGAGAGACTTTCTCCGATTCGCGTTAGTAACTTTGTAAATACATATCAGTTTCTCTTAGAAACATATAGGTAGCTATTATCTTACATACATGTAAGTTTTAATAAATCCCTAATGCGTAAGTAACTTTTGCGAGTCTTCCTCCAGTTCTGAAAGTTATATTCTTGTTTTGCATGTAATGTTTTTGATTGGTAATTGTCTAATCATTTTAAACAGAGGATTTCCTGTTTGGTTGCACAACATGCCCGATATGGAATTTAGGACTACTAACAAAGCCTTTATGGTAAGCTCGATAATCAAATTATTTTTTCTTAAATAAGTATTATTATCATTTGATATTGTATATATTTATTTTTTATATAGAATGAGATGCAAAACTTCACAACTATGATAGTTGACATGGTCAAGAAAGAAAAATTGTTTGCATCACAAGGAGGTCCCATTATTCTTGCACAGGTAATCGATTAGTTTTTAACACCAGTCTGTTTGTAGACTATGTTATACAAAGTTCTTAACATTATTCTGTTGCAGATAGAAAATGAGTATGGAAATGTAATTGGATCTTATGGAGAAACGGGTAAAGCATACATTCAATGGTGTGCTAATATGGCTCAATCTCTTGATATTGGTGTTCCATGGATCATGTGTCAACAAGATGATGCTCCTCAGCCTATGGTAACTCACTTGAGTATCTTCATAAATATTTTTTGGTTATTTTAGGTAAAACTAAAATATTTTAAATCGTTTAAATTTAGTTGAACACATGTAATGGTTATTACTGCGACAATTTTGAACCAAACAACGCCAAGACTCCTAAGATGTGGACTGAGAACTGGACAGGATGGTTAGTTTTATCTTACCAGCATGACTAAATATAATTTTGGTTATATTCTTATAAATTCTGTTATCTTACATGCATATATCTTCCTTAATATTTGTCTAGGTATAAGAACTGGGGAGGCAAAAATCCTCATAGAACAACTGAGGATGTTGCTTTTGCTGTTGCAAGATTCTTTCAAAAAGGAGGAACTTTCCAGAATTACTACATGGTCAGTCACTTAATGATGAAATTTCAGTTTAGTTAACAAAGTACACTAACATATATATTAGTAAGAAACACTGAATGAATGATTTTGTTTATGTAGTACCATGGAGGCACAAACTTTGATAGAACTTCAGGTGGTCCATACATCACAACTTCATATGATTACGATGCTCCTATTGATGAATTTGGTAAATTATTCATCTTTAAAGTTAGTTTTGGAGATTAAATTTTAGTATTAACATGATGTTAATTTATCAGGTAATTTGAATCAACCAAAATATGGGCACTTAAAACAACTTCATGATATCCTGCACTCTATGGAGAAAACTCTTACCTATGGAAATGTCTCCACCATTGACTTTGGAAATTTTGCATCGGTAATTATTTTGTTTTTTTTTTATCCAATTCGGAACGTGTTAATTTTGAACTAGTCACTTATCATAAACATTTATGTTGTAGGCAACAATCTATAAGACTGAAGAAAGATCAAGTTGTTTCTTTGGAAACGTTAATGAAACTTCAGATGCAACAATCAACTTTCAAGGAGAAACTTATGTTGTCCCGACTTGGTCCGTTAGCATTTTACCGGATTGCAAAACTGAGGTTTATAATACTGCAAAGGTATGTCTTTTTTGTTACATTCAATTATTGCGTATTGCAGTAAAATTTAATCTTTATATATTTTTTGTACCAGATTCTTACTTATGTCGATGGTTGGTTATACATAAGGCTTATTTATAACATTCAAAATAATATTCTTTTATGTATTTTTGTGTGTTTTTATTAAATTAATAATTAGCATTAACTCCAACTAATAATAGTTTTGTGTTTGTGCTTTTGCTTGTGGCTTTTCTGTTATACATAAAAAATTTACGTTTCTATTTCAAAATTAATTATATATTTGCATTTTTATTTGTGGATTTTTTTATTATTCATATTGATGATCATTATAACATTTTAAGCTATAACCTTTACTGCACTATTTTTTTTTTAATTTTCAGATAAACACTCAAACTTCAGTGATGGTTAAGAAACCAAATGAAGCTGAGGATGAGCCTTCAAATTTGAAATGGTCATGGAGACCAGAGAACATGGATAACTTCCTTTTAAAAGGAAAAGGAGAATCTACAATGAGACAACTATTTGATCAAAAAATAGTAAGCAATGACCAAAGTGATTATCTTTGGTACATGACTACTCTTAATCTCAAAGAAGAAGATCCAGTTTTGGGTAAGAACATGTCTCTACGCATCAACAGTACTGCTCATGTGCTCCATGCTTTTGTCAATGGAAAACATGTTGGTAAGTAAATTGATATATATGTTTGTCAAATCTCAACAATCCTAGTTTACTACGTATAAAAGTATTAACTGGTTTCTGTTTTTAGGTAATTATCATGCAGAAAATGGAAAGTTTCACTATGTTTTTGAGCAAGAAGCAAAGTTTAACCCTGGTGATAATGTCATTTCTCTCTTAAGTATAACCGTAGGACTCCCGGTAAGTTTGACTTACTATTATGTTGTATTTCTTAACTTGTAACCATTTTCTTTATTTCTAACTAAAACAATTATTTTATAGAACTATGGTGCTTTCTTTGAGAATGTTCCAGCCGGAATTACTGGACCTGTTTTTATTATTGGAAGAAATGGTGATGAAACCATAGTAAAGGATTTGTCTGCTCATAAATGGAGCTATAAAACTGATTTAAGAGGGTTTGAGAACCAACTCTTTAGTTCAGAATCACCATCTAAATGGTCAGGTGACAGTGTACCATTCAACCGTACCATGACTTGGTACAAGGTAAGTAGAAATTATCAATCATAATATAACTAATCAAAACCCTAGTGATTTAATATCAATCATATTATTTTAAATTTTTCTTTCAGACTACGTTCAAGGCTCCGTTGGGAAGTGAACCAGTTGTTGTTGATCTTCTTGGACTTGGAAAAGGTACTGCTTGGATCAATGGAAACAACATTGGGCGTTACTGGCCAGCGTTTCTTTCAACCGAAGATGGTTGTTCTGCTGAATGTAATTATCGAGGGGCGTACTATGCTGAAAAGTGCCAAACTAATTGTGGAGAACCTACCCAGAGATGGTACATTTTCTAAATTTGATTAGGTTCTAAAATTAAATATTTTAAATTGGTTCTATTTTATAATTAAAACTTGCACAAATTTATTAACATTTGATGCTTTATTTTTAAATAGGTACCATATTCCTCGTTCTTTCTTGAACCCAAAAGGAGATAACAAATTAGTTTTGTTTGAAGAGATTGGAGGAAACCCATCATTCGTCAATTTCCAAACAATTGGAGTGGGAGGTGTCTGTGCAAATGTCTATGAGAAGAACGTTCTTGAACTTTCCTGCGATGGAAGGCCTATTTCTGCTATCAAATTTGCCTCTTTCGGTAACCCAAGAGGCAATTGTGGATCCTTTGAGAAGGGAACTTGTGAAGCAAGCAAAGATGTTGTTGACATTCTCACTGCTGAATGTGTTGGAAAAGAAAAATGTTCCGTTAATGTTTCCACAGAGAAGTTCGGAGCACCTGAATGCAATGTTGCTACTAGGAGTCTCGCAGTGGAAGCTCTTTGCTAGTTTTTTTTCTTCTTGATTTGCGGTGTGTTTTCTGCTGGATTTAGGTAATTTAATCCTAGAACCGTTGCATCCATTATTAATTTAGATGGATGATTTTATTCAATAAAAGAACACCTTCTTATATTACATTAACCATGATCATCTTCTTCTCCATGATCCACCGTGGTAATTTCTTCTCCACCTTCCCCACTCGCTCTGAAATATAAGTTAAATGTTCTATTCGATATGTTAACAAATATACAGCGACCTCGTAATTTGCACTCTCTCTCTTCCCCGACGGCGATTGGGAAGGAGATTTTTAGGGTTTCGAATGCTTGTTGGATGGGATCCAGGGATTTGGGGGTTGGTTGGAGATCGTGAGGATCAAGGAAAATCACATCTATATCTGGAGAAGAGGATTTGGTTTATTGCGTTTTGGCAAGGATCTTTGGAAAATGGATTCTCGGAGATCTGGTTTCAAGGGAGTAGGGATTTGCTAGCCCTGAGATTCGATAGGATTTGGGCATTACTCGATTATAGGAAAGGGTCGCGGTATTCAGCATCCATGGAAGGAAAGTTTGGGGTTTGCGCCAAAGTGAGAATTTCTTTGTTTGGGAGGGGGTCTGGTATTGGGAGATTCGATTGGCTTGATGTAGAAGGGAATGAGATTTGCATATTTGATGGGAGATTCAGCTTTGAAGTCCAGATTAGCCATCATTTAAAGAGTAGATATGCTATCTTCTCTTATGGCTTATGGTGGGAGTATAAAAGGGTTCGGTGGTATTTGGGGTTGAGCATCCCGGTTGCTTTATTTTTCTACGAAATTTCTGAGCCTTTCATCTTTTCTCTGTTCTTTGTGGAGATGTCACAAAGTCAACTAGTGAGTGGTGGTGGTGAGGCCAAGGTTGGGGAGAACAAACGGAAGAGGTTGAAAATCTTAGTTGCACACTTCGACAACTCGGATTTGATCCGAAGTTACTCCAGAACTTTAGTCGGGAGATGCATGAACCCGGAAGAGCAAAAAGTTGATTCTCTGCTGGTGATGCTACCGAAGATATGGAAAATGGAAGACAGGGTGGTGGGGGTCGACTTGGGATTGGGACGGTTCCAGTTTCATTTTGACAATGAGGAGGACATCCTTGTGGTTATGGAATTACAACCATTCCATTTTGATTTCTGGATGCTTTCGTTAGGACGGTGGAAACAACGGATGCCACTTCAGTACCCGTCTGAGATTCCTTTCTGGATCAAGGTAATGGGGGTGCCTAATGAGTTTTGGTCGGCGGAGACGTTTCAGAGTATAGGGGATGCTATTGGTGTTACAACGGATGTTGATCTGGATTTTGGCAAGATTAGAGTGGTGATGGATGGTTCTCAGGAGCTGTGCTTTGATACAACAATCGACTTTAAAGGAGGCCGGTTCTATGAGGAGGTGGAAGTTCCAGTCACATTGGTGTATGAGAAATTGTTTGGCTATTGCCAGACGTGTCTCAGCTTGTGCCACCATGAAGACTATTGTCCTTTAAATATAAAGAAGGTGGAGCGGAAAAGAGATTCTCGAGAGGATATCAAGAGTAGGAATGAGGACAGGGCAAGAAGTTACAAGGGAGTTGTTATAAAGGGAGATGGAGGTTACCCGGAGACTCACAATGATCAAAGGGGTTACCAGGGGAAAGGAAAAGGAAAGATGTATGAGGAGATGGGTTCTAAATGGACTAAAGTCCCTGAGAGAGGAAGTAAAAGAGCCTATTCTAATCGGAGTAGTAGGGGGGAAGAGGGAGGATCCAGGCAAAGGAGTTCCAGATGGGATCAGGTGCGTCATGATACTACTGTTGATCGTGTTAGGTCTCCACGGGGAGACGGTGGACAACAGCGTCTTCTCGAGAATCAACCTGAAGAGGGAGAAGTCCTTGAGTCTGTACAGGTTCGGGTCGAGGAAGGAGTTCAGGGTTCAACTCGGGCTCAGGTTGAGGATCATCGGGTTGAGGAGATACCAAAGTTAAGTGGTGCTGAAGGTATACAACAGGTGGACCAACAGGTTCAGGAATGCCCCTTTGAAGACAACCCTGTCGCTACGGTTTCAGAGAATGGTGTTGATGCTTTTATGGGAAGTCCAACAAAGGATGTTCAGAATTTGACAAGTGATGGGATGGAGCTCGAGGGAGTGGTTTTTAATGAGAGGGGAGGTGAGAAGGAATTAGAGTCTGAGGAGGAGTTTGAGAATTTGACGGATGAGGAAGAAGAGAATAAGGATGTAGTGGGGGCCAAGGAGACGGAGGAGCTCAATTTGGGAACTGCTACGGCTGAGGAGTTGGAGGTCATGGTGGCCGATGCAGCTAAGAAGGGGGGCGCGCGTAAACCGGTTGTTTCCACAACTGTGGGAGGACCCATGACCAAGAAGTTTGCGCAGGTTCTCCTGTCCCCTCGTAAGCGTCAGCAAACCAAACCCATAGGTGGCCGTAAGGGAGGAGGATCCAAACCAGGAGAGATGCGGAATGGGGTCATTGCAAAACAAAGCTTAAAATAGTTCATGGATTTTAAACCTTTCAGCGACAAGAGATCGAACAGTGGAGTGGTTTTGGTGGTTGGTTTTTTGTGTTTTCAATTTATAATAAGCTCTATGAGTAATTTTCATTTTCCTCTTTGTTTTCTTGGGTCCATGGTTACGGGTCCTATTTGTATGGTCTTAGAAGTATCTAAGATTTTGAATAAAAAGTTTCTTTTTGTTTATGGTTATTGCTCTATGTGTCGGATTGGAAGAGTTCAATTATGTTTATTGTGTGTCTGGCTCATGGTGTCTTGGACCTGGAGTTTACCGTATCCTGGCCTCTGCTGCTTTTCTAGTCCAGCTAAGGGACAAGCTAGATGGCAGGATAGGTTTACAATGGTTTGGTTTTGGCTTAGGGATGTTTGGTTAAGTAGAAATGCACAGGTTGTGTCCAACCATCGGTATTCTCTCCCAAACGTTGATGGTTCCTTAACGATTTTATTTTTCAATGTGGTTCTCAGTGTTACAGGTTGGAAAAAAGCTGGGTATCTGGAGGAGTATTCTCTTCACTTTCGGTTGGGGAGACGGAATTTGTGTAGGTTGTTTGCTAGGTCATCGAACATCTCATTATTATATCCCTGGTTCTTGTCTAGCGTTTATGTTTTAGGTGGAGAGGAGGCAGACATGACTTGGCATTGGAGCATGGAGTGCAGGGAGTTTAAGATACAGACCACTCAGTGGCCTATAGGGTATCGGATTGGGTTTCTGGTGAGGATTTTCATAGCACCTTGCCAACAAAATGATTGGAGGCTTAATGGGCATGTACGATGTATGGGACAAATAAGAGGGATGATTTGGCACAATGGTATGATAATGGGTTTTTGGAAATACAAATATGGTGTCTCTATAACGAGTTACCAACTAATTTGTATACGTGTCTCGGGTCTCCTTAAACCCATCCGTGTAGCTCGGAGGAGCAGAGAAAGATTTATTTTATGAGAGCTCTAAGTTGGAACTGTAGGGGCATGGGGAGTAAATGGACAATTAGCTATCTCCGGGAAATTTGGTATAAACATAAACCGGATTTCTTATTCTTATCGGAAACGAAACAAGAGTCTGCTTTTGTCCAAGATTTTCAAAACCATTTAGGTTTTGATTCTTTGGTCACAGTAGATCCAATAGGTAGGAGTGGAGGCTTGGCGTTATTTTATAAGCAAGAATTTCAAGTGAAAGTTTTATTTACCAGCAACAGAGTAATTGATATTGAAGCGGTTATAATGGGAAGACAAGTGTTTTTAACTTTTGTTTATGGAGACCCGGTTCAACAGTTAAGGGAACAAGTATGGGAACGACTAACAAGATATGGTTTGGCGAGATCAGAACCATGGTTTGTTATAGGGGATTTGAATGAGATTACTGGTAATCATGAGAAGAACGGAGGTTCTCTACGGAGTGCTGCTTCTTTTGTACCTTTTAATAATATGATTCGAAATACGGGCCTGCTAGAATTCCCCGCCCGGGGAAATCAAATGTCTTGGCAAGGTAGACGGGGAACAGAAATTGTACGGTGTAGGTTGGATCGAGCTTTAGCAAATGAGGAATGGCACGCATTATTTCCATGTTCGTACACAGAATATTTGAAAATGGTGAGTTCGGATCATAGACCAGTATTGGCGTTCATGGAAGATAAAGTTATTAGACGAAGGAGTCAGTTTCGTTTTGATAAAAGATGGATTGGTAGGGAAGGCCTGTTGGATTCTATTTCTAGAGGCTGGGAGCGGCAGTGTGGTGATGGATTGGGAGGTTTCGTCAATAAGATTAGTAACTGTCGACAGGAACTAATCTAAATGGAGAAAGGATAATCCTACATTCGGGAAGGCAAAGATTAGTGAGTTACAAGAGGCATTGGAGGAGGTTCAAATGGATAACAATAGGACACAGGAAGAAATAGTGAATATCTCTCGGAAACTACAGGAGGCATATAAGGAGGAAGAGGATTATTGGCAACAAAAAAGTCGGAATTTGTGGAATACGGGAGGAGATCGGAGTACAAAGTTTTTCCATGCTTTGACAAAGCAACGCAGGACTCGGAACAGAATTGTGGGACTTCATGATGCGGAGGATAACTGGATAACGGAGGATGAGGGAGTGGAGAAGGTTGCGGTGGATTTTTTTAATAATTTATTTGCTTCTACGCAACCCTCTGAGTTTGATGATTTTCTTGCTGAAATACCATCGTCTATAACTCAATGTATGAACCAGAGGCTGCTGAGACTGGCGACAGAGGAAGAGGTGCGACAAGCCTTGTTTATGATGCATCCGGAAAAGGCTCCAGGCTCTGATGGGATGACCCCATTATTTTTCCAGCACTCATGGCCGGTTATAAAAAAGGATGTATTGGATTTGGTTAATAACTTTTTAACCTCGGCCGAGTTGGATCCAAGATTAAATACAACTAATATTTGTTTGATTCCAAAGGTCGAGAGACCTACCAGGATGACAGAAATGCGTCCGATAAGTCTCTGTAATGTTG